TAATGGAAGTTTGGCTGAGTTGAGTATATTCGTAACATCTTGCTGTAATTTTAAACATTCTTCTTCTGAATCACTACCAGTCATAATATCATCCATATAGAAATCTCGTCTTATCGTCTTGGATGCATTTGGGAATAGTACTTCATTTTCCCTTGCTAGTTCGTCTAAACATTTTGTTGTCATGAAAGAAGCTGGAGTGGTGCCATAAGTTACTGTGTTCAATCGATACTTACGCAAAACTTCGCTGGGATGCTTTCTCCAAACTATCCGTTGTAGATCTCGATCTTCTTTGGCTACTTCTACCTGTCTAAACATCTTTTCAATATCAGCAGTTATAACAATTTGATGTTTGCGGAACCGACTCAAAATAGAAAATAAATCTTCTTGTATACTTGGTCCGCGCATAAGCACATCATTCAATGCAATACTATTTGATCCCTTTGCGGACGCGTCAAACACGACTCTGACCTTCGTGGTTAAACTTGATGATTTTATAACGGCATGATGTGGTAAATAAAATATTGGCATGGTTGTTACATCGTCCTTGATCTCTTCCATATGACCCATTTCTAAGTATTCGGTCATAAATTTGATATACTCCACACGTAGTTGATTGTCACGTTGAAGCCTTCTCTCGACGTTCATGAAACGACAAGTTGCCATATTCAGGCTATCTCCTAACTCATCAACCTTTGAATTTGTGGGCAATCGTAATACAAATCGACCATCAGAATTTCGGGTAAATGTCTTCATAAAGTGATCAACAACTTCTTGTTCCTCTGCACATCGAAGGTTTAATTTTGAATAGCGGCCAAATAGCTGTTCTTCCTTCGGTTGAATCGCCTCCCAGTTTTCTTCCAGAGACCTGCTAATTCCTAAAAGACAAGTCATACCGATTTCACCAGTAACGACATACCCAAGTTTAGTGCCTTGTAAGGATATGTTTCCAACGTTTAATGGAATTCTTTCAGGGGTCAGTATATCAAAAAATATACCAGCACCTATTAATAATTCCACTGGACCTGCCTGGTCGAATTTTGGGTCAGCTAATTGTGTTGCCAAATTGTTACTTATTTTCCAGCCATCCTTGGGCCCCTTGCAAGCTGGAAGATCACTTACCACAGTAGGTATGACATGACATGCCATATTGAGATTGAATGATGAAATACACGACTGTACTTGAATATTGACTCTCGAAGTAGTTTGCAGCCGGCTTGTTCCAATTCCACATACTGGTAATAAAATCCTTTCACTGGGCAATTTCAATTTATTTTGGAGACCCTTGGAAATGAAATTTATTTGGGAGCCACTGTCTAACACTGCACGACATTTATGAGCCCTGCCATTATTGTCTGTGACTAGAACGACCGCAGTTGATAAGAAAACATAACTATTTGCTAATGTAGCTGCCATTGAAACTTGAGGTGAAGATACTGGTAAAGAGTTTTCCTCTTGTACATCGTTTGTTATGTTGTTATTGGTATTATCTGATCGTCCCTCAAGATGAAGTAGTGTATTATGCCTACGATGGCAACGACTACATGAAAACTTTGACTTGCAAACATTCGCTAAATGAAATCCAGATAAACAATTGAAACAAAGTCTTGCATCCCTGATTACATTAAGACGTTCTATAGCAGTAAGTTTCTTAAAACTTTCACAGGCATATATTTTGTGTTGGCCATTACACTTGGGGCAGATGATATTTTCGGTTCCAGCAATTAAAGTGAGTTTCTTCGATTTTTGTTCGTATTCCTTCCTTCTTGACGTAATTTGTTGGCTGTTCACTTCACTTGAACTCTGTTTATTGAAGTTAGAGTTCTCCAATGCAACACATCTGCTTGATAAAAAACTTTCTAATGCCTTATATTTTGGTAGGTCAGTGGATTCTTGGCGCAACTGCCAATCCTGACTTGTTGCTGGATCTAGTCTACTTACTATAATGGTTACTAGCCAGGCATCCCATTGATCCGTTGGTTGTTTCAAAGCCTTAAGAGCTGCAATATGAACACAGATGTGGGCATGAAGACCTTGTAGCTCACTTGCAGTGGGTTTTTGGATGTGTGGAGTATCCAATATCGAGCGAATATGTGATTGTATCACAAGACCTTGATTATCATATCTTTGTTTTAAGCGATTTATTGCAATTTCATAATTTATGTCTGTCATTGGTACAGATTTCACTAAGTTGAGTGCAGCTCCAGCGAGACTTGATCTTAAATAATAAAATTTTTGGGCTGAAGAAAGTCCAGTATCTTCATGCACCATGACACGAAAGCAATCATAAAAAGATTCCCAGTCTTGAATATCGCCACTGAATGTTGGCAGTGAAATAGGTTCTAAACGAACTCGACTACTCGAAGCCGACGTGCCAATTGATGTATTATTAATGCTTGAGTTAAGACATTTTTTCATATTAATAATTTCTTGAATTTGAGAACGAACGCAATAATAATCATCCTCAAATTTAGTACGTTCCTCTTCTTCTAAATCTTGGTCTTCGACTAGAAGTTCCAACTGAGTTTGTGTGTCATCAAATTTTTTGTTTATTACAGGCAGCTCTTCTTGTCTGAATTCCAACAGTGTAATTGGATCTTCATTTACGTCAAACTTAGAAACAAATGTCTTCATTCGCGTAAGTGATGCCTTAATTATGCCACGTTTTTTTTTTAATTCGGAAATATCCTTTTCCTGACTTGAATCTAACACCATCTTGTGCAATAAGTGCACAATATTATATAATAATATGAGAGTCCTATAACTTTACAGACACAAAAAATAAACAACTAAGTCGCAACAACTTACTGATAAGACTCGAGTATATTATAATTAATTTGTTATAATAATTTCAGAACTGTGTATAATTAACTACTATAATTTGTCACAGATGATAATAATGAAGATGTGTATATTATATAAGCAATAATCAATAACTAAATAATTCCACTGCCAATATACGAAGATTATATCAAAATATTAATATCAATATACGATATAACTATTGATTAAATTTTCTTCACCAAAGCTGTTCTATGTATTATTATACAATATTATACATCTATCACGTCGAGGTCACCAAAATGTACGGGCCGGGAACATAAGATGATAATATGTGCTCCCGGACACCAACTTATTGCAAGCCACTAACACCTAAATCTTAATAATATGTGACACTAGAATAGCTGGGTGTGTAGTGATGTAAATAGCTCGAACAGCAGTGGTCGGGGTTGCTGGGCAAATACTGTTGAGCTATGTAATGCTTGTTATGTAAAATGTATAAAATGTATAAGTGTGTATATTGAGTGTGTGTAAGACTTAAAACTATGGAACATGGGTAACTCAACCAATGGTAACGCAGATTGCAATTATGGTAAAATATATAATATAATAATAAAAAAAATGGCCCTTTTGGCCCAACAAGTAAAAATGTATAAAAATATAATATAAGTTGCCGGTTCGGCACAACCAATAAAAGATATAATAATATTATACGGCCAAGTATAATACAATAATGTATAAATGTATAATAAATAATAATTTAGAAAAAACTCACAAATTGTCGGTGCTCGGCTGGCCAGCTGCTACCTATACAGCTATATAATAATTTCACACACAATAAAATATAATAATAAAAATGTGGCGATTAGCGCCAATAAAATATTACAAATACGGCGATTAGCGCCAATAAAATATAATAATAAAAATGTGGCGATTAGCGCCAATAAAATATAATAATAAAAATGTGGCGATTAGCGCCAATAAAATATAATAAATAATAATATTACAAATGTGGCGATTAGCGCACACAAATATAAAAACAAAGGGCGATTCGCGCCCAGCACCAATGAATATAACAAAAAGGCGATTCGCGCCCTACACTAAATATATAAAAACGTGTGAGATTTTCAACTCATTCGACGCACGCCGGTGCCCTTATAACGTACGGTACTGGTATCTTATGTCGACTGATCGGACTTACGGCGGCCGTGCTAAACCTTTGCGTTCCAGCCGGCCTACGTCGGACGATAAGGCGTAATTGCATAATATTATATGTTATATAACTCACACGACAATAATAATTAAACAAAA